ATGAGCTCTAGAAAGAGGCTCTGGGAGAGTGCCAAGGCCTTCGGCACTCAGCGTCAATGTGCTGTGGTGACCTCAACAGGGTATAATGACACAGAGTCCACCATTTTCTCCAGGGGAACTGATCTCTGCTATCTGAAGAGCAGTTGTAATTTTCAGTGATCTCCAACCCTCACCTGGAGATTGGCAACAATTGTTACCCAGGAAGAAATGGCTGGCTTGGAGGGTGGAGTCTATGGCATTGTACCTGTCTGAGGTCCCACCCCTCTTGAAACCTCACCCTCTCCAGGCTCCACCCCTCAAATCTCCACGAATTTCCCAACCTGGAGTTGGCAACCCTATCTCCTTCCCAGCCAAGCATCAACCTGCCATTATCTGCCCCTCTGATTTCAGCTTTGCATCTCCTCCCCCATCCCTCCTGGAGATCACTTGTAATTCTGAGTGATTTCCACCCCTCTTTTGAGATTGGCAACAGTGGTTCCCCAGGAGGGAATGGCTGGTTGGGAGGGTGGAGTCTATGGCATTGTACCTCTCTGAGGTCCCACCCATCCTCAAACCTCACCCTCTCCAGCTTCCATCCCTAAAATATCCAGGAATTTTCCACCTGGAGTTGGCAGTCTTATCCCCTTCCCAGCCAATCATCAACCTACCTTTATCTCCCCCTCTCTCTTCAGCTTTCCATTTTCCCCACACACACATACCTGCAGCCTCTTCCGTGCTCTGAAGCCCTGACTGCCACAACCATTTTCCGTGCTCTGAAGCCCTGACTACCACAGAATCCACTATTTTCTCCAGCGGAAGTGATCTCTGCCATCTGGAGAGCAGTTGTAATTCTGAGTAATCCCCAGCCCTCACCTGGAGATTAGCAACAATGGTTTCCCAGGAGGAAAAGTAGTCTTTCTCTGCAATGGAGACCAAAGCAGCTTACATCATTCTCCTCTCCCCCTTCTGACTTGCACAACAACCCTGTGAGGTAGGTTAGGCTGAAAGTTACCCACTCAGCTTCTACAG